AAGGAAGGGAAAAAGAGAAGGATAAATTAACATAGATGTGTGAGAGAAACACCTGGCTCAAAACTCAGGCAACTACCCTGACCAGGAATTGAACTACTGACCCTTCGTTTCACAGCCCTGCACTCAATCCACTGAGCCACACCAGTCAAGGAAACAAGATTCTTAACTAGCTGCAAGTCAAAGACTTGGTGAGGAGCAGTAAATATTAAAGTACTTCAAAAACAAAGCCGGAGGGATAGTTGAGTACTCCCAATAAAGAGATGAGGAAAACACTCTAGGGCTAGATGGAGTGCCAGGGGTCTGTGAACAACCATGGCTTCTGAACACTTCCAGAATAGCTACTTTGCAAAACAATAAACAGCTCTCTCACTCTTGGGCTGTCACCCAGAATGCTCTTGGTTGGGGGCCATCCTACAGCTAAGGCAGGAAGATGGTGGCTGCAAAAAAGAAAAAAGTCACTGGAATAGATCTACTCTAGGCTCCAACTTGTTATGAAAAATGGAAATTATGTGCTGGGGTACAAAAAGACTCTGAACATGATCAGACAAGGCAAAGTGAAACTGGTCATCCTTGCCAACAACTGTCCGGTGTTGAGGAAATCTGAAAAAGAACTATGCCATGTTGGCCAAAACTGGTGTACATCACCACAGTCGCAAATATATTGAATTGGGCACAGTGCATGGAAAGTACTACAGAGTGTGCACACTGGCTATCATTGATCCAAGTGACTATGGCATCTTTAGAAGTATGCCAGAACGGACTGGTGAAAAGTAATTCATGCAGAATTTTTCTTTAATAAAACTGGCCAAAGTCTGGTTGAAAACTGCACAAAACAAAAATAAAAATAAAAACAACCGACAAACCAGTCCCGAACAACAGACCTAAGAAATCTGCTCTTTTATGCATACTTTGATCGCTAGTATTTCCCCCAGCCATCCTCTGTTAGAGCTTAGCATAGTATGTGCCGCAGCAGGCCTTCAAGTACCAATGTTCTCATTATTTTATTACTTTATCACAAGAACACAAGATAGTATCACGAACAAAGGTTACTCCAAAGCAGCTATCTATTATATTTCTATTGGTCTGTTTGCTGATTTCTTTTTCTATTTAGATACTAAGATACTAGATACTTAGTATCCCTTAGATACTTAGGGAAGACCTAAGTACTCAGAGAAATCATCCTTTCTTCCCCCTCAAATCTGATACCTCTTCTTCCAGACTCCCCATGAAGCTCTACATAGTGGTTCTTGAATATGTGATGGACTAGAAGATAATGCGAATTGCCTGAAAGCCCTGCCTCTTCCTATTTCCACAGTAGTCATGCTTTTGGGCCCCTCTCACAGCTTACATCTACTTTAGCAATGACTCCTCATAGCTTAGGAAGTCTAGTTTGAAGAACATATTCAACTTGGAAAAAAAATCAATTTCCATTTTAAGAGGTTGCAGTCACATTTGTCCTAATTAACAGGATTCATTTCGAGGAAGCAAATTGGGAGACATATTTCTGTTTTTAAAGATATCAACCTACTACAGGGTTTGTGACAGAAATTATCCCATTGGGCTATTTATCTGCCCCATGCCTATGCTAGAGAAGATCCTGATTTAGGGGCATTTTCACTATGGTTCTATTTTTGGACAACACACTTTCAAGTAGGAACTTAAATTACAGTCCCACCAAAGATTGATGGGCTGCAAATTGGCACAACCATTTCCAATATCTAGTAAAGTTAAAAAGATCCACTCCATATGACACAGGAATTCTATCCCTAGGTGTATAGGACACACACATAGATAAAGGTACTTGTACTAGAATAACAGCACTGTTATTAATAATAGCCCCAAACTGGAAGGAATCTAGATGTCTATCAATAGTAGAATGGGCCCCAGCTGGTGTGGCTCAGTGGATTGAGTGCCAGCCTGCAAACCAAAGGGTTGCTGGTTCGATTCCCAGTCAGGGCATATGCCTGGGTTGCTGGGCAGGTCCCCAGCTTGGAGCAAACGAGAGGCAACCACACGGTCATGTTTCTCTACCTCCCTTTCCCTGAAAACGAATAAATAAAATATTTTTTAAAAAAGTAGAATGGATAAATAATGAACTATACCTACACACAACAATTTTTGGAAAAATTTCAAAAGCACAATGCTAAAAGAAGGAAGACACAAAATACAGTATGATTCCATTTACATAAAATTCAAAAGTAAACAAAACCACGTTGAGAGATACAAGGTGGTAAAGGTAAAAAGAAAAACAGAGAACACGATTACCACCGAAGTCAGAAAAGTATCTCTAGGATGTGAGAAGCTGTGATCAGAAAGGCACCTGTGAAAGGTTCAATTCAGGGGTGTTGGCATTGTTTTTTATCTTAAAGAGGTGGTAGACAGTGGTTCACTTTACAATTTTTCACTAAATTGTATACAGATCATCCAAATTTATATAGACGAACATTTCACAAGTTCTTAGGGGAAAAAAGAACTTTCAGACACAACCACAGCCCACCACCTCTACCTACAGTTTTGACCAAAAGTAAGACCAAAGGACACTTCTTTCCCCCTTTCAGCAAAGCAAGAGGTTAACCTAGGGCATCTTCTTGCAGCCACAATCAGAAATCACCATCCAGTACGACACTTAGGAAAAAATCAAATGAAGCATTTAAGTGAAGGTTGGAGACGACTTAAAATGTGGGGCAACTAAATACAAAGCAAGAGAAAAGAAAAGGTGTTCATGCACACCTCATTCCGAGGCTGAGTGATTTTTAAAAATCACAAATAAAGTGTGACCGTTTAAAAAGTAAACAAGCAAGAAGCATGGCATATCAAAGACAACTCACAACCGATTAAATTAAAAGAAGGCTGGCAAGGTTGAAGAAAGAAATCCCTGATTCTGAAGCTGTCATATGGACGGCAGCCACACCCAGAGCCACTGGTTTTGGTTACCCTTTTTGGAGCAATTCTAATGTACAAGAAAATTCAACTACTATTCCATCTTTTGTTTGAAATGGCAACATAAGCTGGAAAGGGGAGGTGGAAAAGCAGAGGTTCATGGAGGGGTAAACAAATTATTCATCAGAGGACTGGAAGCAGTCTGATAGGTAAGATTAATCTGATAAGTAAATCTTAGTTAATGAGCTTACAACAAAAAACATTATCTGTAAACACCAACTTAAAAGGTGCATCTCAAATTTATTAACTAAAAAACAAAGCTATTTCAGAACAAGCAGACCTGAGAGACATATTAAAAATTTAAGTGTATCCTACACAAAGTTGACTGCTTTAGTCCTTAGGAAGCTGATGCCTCATCATGCTAAAAGCCTGAAAGTTGCACTAACTTACATTTTACCAGGAAAATGTAGCCAACTGTGACTGGATTCAAAGATGCAGTTCTCCCACATCTTCAATTTTCCAGCACCTAATTTCTGACAGAGAGAACCCCGAATGATTGGCAGGATTTGTAATTTTTCAGTATTACCAGGAAAAAACTGCACACATATTTCCAGCATATGTACGATTTTAACTCACCAGTCACCATGTTGCATGTATGTCTGCTGCTTGTCCTGAGTTCTTAAGACTTGTAACATTCTGAAGAAGATAGAACAAAAAAGTTCCTTCCATCCTCAGCCTCTTTTTAAATTTTAACTGTTCTTAAAATAATACAGCACATTAGAAAGAACTACCCAACGTTAGCTTCTTTTTACTCAAACTTAACATAAACTACAGGACATTCTGTCTTAGAAAAAAAGTGTGATTTCTCTAAGACAAACCTGAAACTCCCCTGGTACCAGTACATAGCACTAGGGTTAAAATTAAAAAACAAAAACAAAAACAAAAAAACCCCCACAAAACTCAAAACCATTAAAATCTGTATCAAAAGTGAATCTTGCAGGGATACGCGGTCAGACTTTAGGAATTTCTTCTGATAGACATTTTTGGAAGTACAATAGAAGGCAACGTACAGATTTTCAGGTTGTTCAATTTTGCTCTGGGCAACTTTTGGGCTGACCAATAGTGGGCCCTTAGTCTAAGTGTACAAGTCCCTCCCAGCCACAAAGATAGGCTGCATTTAAAGATTTAATTGAAGAGAAATTGCAGAGCAGGGGTCGTTTCACTTCGTCCACACAGGAGGATCCCCTTCCGGAGCGCACAGGGGTGACGTGTAAGAATTGCGCTTACGGAAAAATTACTTTCTGATGACACGAAAGCAGGTAACGCTGAAAGAGAGCCTTCCAGAACTACCTTACCTCTGCAGCACAAAGCAGCAGAGCAAGATGAGAAAACTCCATGGGGCTCGCAGCCCTCAGACCAACAGCACTAGGTTTCAGAACCAGGGCCGCACTCTCTCCGAATACCCACACCGCACACAGGGGCCTCCGGTCACCGCATTATTCAAGAACGAGCAATTTCGCCCGCCTCGCGGCGGAGCAGGGCCGTTAGTCAGACCGCAAAACCGGTTGGTTTTTCCCGAGCGGTCGGGGGACGTCACCAGAGCAGGAAGAACCCAACCCGCAACCCTCCTCACACTGCCAGCCTCCTGCCCGCCGCTTCTCCGCACAGCAGGGGTGCTTTGCGCGCTCTCGCGGAGGCGGCGCCACCCAACAGCAGAGCACGCGTCCCGAAGCCGGGGGTCGCGGGCGCGCGCCCGCCCAAGAAGCCGTTCTTGCCCCCAGGCCGCAGTTCCAGGAACCAAGAAATCCAGGCCGGGGACGCGCACGTCGGCGGACACGCGCACCTGGAGAGCCGCACGGCGCGCGCGCTCTCGCGCATATAAACAGGCTCAGCCGCGCGCTCGCGCGCCGCGCCCACCCGATCCTCATCCGCCCCTCCCCCACCCAAGGGGCGGGGGCGCGCGAGCCCAGGGACATTCTCCGCTCCGGGCCGCCCCAAGGTCTCCTGGGCCCAGCAGCAGCAGCAGCAGCCCGCCCGCCCCCGCCCGCCGTTGTGTGGGGTGGGCCCACTGTCTCAGGCCCTCAGCCTCGCCAAACCCCTGTCCCCACTGGAACCCTCACCCGGCGACGTCGCCGCCGCCGCCGCCGTTCTACCCGCCGGCCCCGCTGCACTGCTTCGGGACCCGGTTCTGCCGTCGCCGCTCCAAGACCGACAGGATTTTCCCCTCACAGCTCCCTGGGCGCCATCTTACATTCAACCCTCATAGCCAATGAGTGCCGAATGCCCCTCTCGCGATAACCCGAGCGTCGGGTCCCGCGAGAGTTGAGGCAACCTCCTGGCCAGACTTAAAGGGAACGCTTCTGCCGAAGAGGTAGGCCTGGCCTCTGGCTGCAGTAGCGGCGTGAAGAGGGGTATAGGGCGGAGCACCCCGCCCTCAAACGCCCCTGCGTGCGGGGCGGAGCCACGGACGGAGATCTGCGTATCCTTTGAGTCCGGGCAGGCCGGGACTCGAAGCTTGTTCTGTTGCCACCTTCTGACGCCTGCCCGGGCCTCCTTAGGTCGCGCAGCCCCACACGGGGCGGGGCCCGGACTCTACTTTAAGGTGGCCCCCCACGGCTCCTAAACTAGCCCTGGCACTCCAGCCGCGTCGCACCGAGGACATCTCGGGATACTCTCCTCTCTGTGTCCTTAGCATCCGGGACCTTCCTTCCCCACCCATCTTCTGCCTTTCTCATCAGGCTTCCGCAGCCCAGTCCACCTTAAAGCGGGCTTCTTTCTGGTAGCCCGGTGTTTGTATACAGGGAAAATGTGGAGGGTTGTTAAAGCTGCAGACACACTCAGGACTCAGCAGTAGCCCACAGTGCCCCAGAGAGCAATCAGCCTGCCATACGGCTCTCTTAAAAAGGCCTCCGGATCTTTGTCCTTATTCCTCCTGCCCTGGCAAACTATCCCTCATCCTTTGGGGTTCCCCTCAGGAGTCACTTCCTGAGAGCAGTCTTCTGAAGCCCAGGCTGAGCCAGGAAAGTCCTGGCTTTCCTCATAGAGGCCGCGAGGAAACCTCTCCTGCACACTGCCTGGTCATTCTGTCTTTCTCTTCTCCCTGAGCCTGGCGCAGAGGAGGCACTCAATCATTTGCTGAATAATTGGACAGGGAGCTTGGCCTCTCTATCTGCCTAGGCACCCAGACAGACACAAACTTTCCAGAGCCCTCTGGCACAGGGCTCCTACCACCAGGGGAGCTGCACCCCAGGGCCCACCGCCATTCCCTCAGACCAGATGCAGAGGATATCCATTCAGGCCCAGGCCCCTGCCCTTGAGCACCAAGAAGTGCACTGGGTGGTTGTGTGCAGTGCATCATTTCCCCACTCCCACCCCTCGGCACGTCTCTAAGGCCCTCAGGTGCTGGGAGTGCAAATAGGTAACACAGACTCTGGGGGTAGGGGGGATTTCACTGTTCTTTATTGACATGGAGTGTGGGTACCCCCAGCCTCCAGAAGGATGAGGTGAGTCCATGGGTCTTCCAGCTCACACCTTTCCTGGGTCCTCCTTCAGTGTGACGGTCCGGTTGAAGACAAGCTGGAGACCAGAGAGGGAGGAATGACCACCAAACCAAAACCGGGCCAGAAGGTCCTGGATGGATCTCACTATGGATACCCCACCCCTACCCTCACCTCATTCATCCCAGAGAGGCTGAGGGTCAAAACGCTAGAGTTCTCAATAAATTTATGACTCTGGGCCTCTATTTTACAAGGATTATAACAGTCCCCATACCTGCCCCCTTCTTTGAGGAGTAGGAAAGGCAGAATCCACACAAAATTTTGTGCATGGACTTAACCTCTGAGCCTGATACCTCATCAGCAGAACATCAACCCCCACCTCAAGAGGGGAGGATTAACTAAGGGAATGTAGGCAAAGTGCTTAGCACAGTGAATGGAAGCCGTCATCGTTGTGGAAAAGCCAGGCAGGTAAATTCAGCACCTGTCCCTGGTGGCTGTCTGGATCCACGGAGAAGTAGCCAAGCCGCTCAAACTGGAACTTGTCGAAGGGCTTTGCCAGAGCCACGGAACAATCCACTAACGCTGCCTCCACCACTTGCAGTGATGCCTGTGGGCAGGGAACTCAGATGGGCACCCTGTCAGGGAGGCCCCCCACCCTCACCCTATACGCCATGAGCCTACTGGGTTCAGGTCACTTAAGAATCCACCAGGCACCTCAGCAGGATCCTCTGGGTTCTTGTGCTGAAATCTGCAACCAGAGTGAAGATCAGATTCCAGATGGCAGCCACAGCAGGCAGTGTCCATCTTCTACCTGCCCCCACCCATGCTCTGTTCACTCACAGTCGCTCATAGAGGCGAATCTCACATGTCAGAGGCTGTGACACCCAGTGAATAAAGGCCTTGGGCTTTTCTCCAGCATCTGCCCTTCTGCAGGTCACCTCCAGGCTTTCTGCACAACCACTAGGGCCCTTTTAGTCAAGGGGGAGAGGCCCGCAATCAGACTTTGGGACCACCACCAGGACTGCAGCCTGCACCTACATCTTTGCCCCAGCAGGCACTGCAGTGGGAAGGTTGCAGCAGGCTCTCACCTTCATGACTCGCTGCAGCTCGATGACATAGCCTGTATGCCTCAGGCCCACAGGCTGGCCCCTAGCCAGGCGCTTATAGCCAGGCTCTGGTTCCTAGAGGTAGGAAATAAAGTAGCCACAGGAGGCTGCAAGGGTTGGAAAGGTTCAAGAGGTTTCTCCCCCACCCCAATGTTGGGTAGGGCCTGGTTCATCTGAAGCAGGAAGTAGAATTCTTCAGAACTGGGCTAAGCAGCAAACAGGAACCTCCACCCTCCCATTCACCTCCTTGAAGTCAGTCCTCTCAATGAAGACAATGGATCCAAAGGGAACCTCATGGAAGCCCTTGGTCTCATCAGCTGGAAAGTTGGGCACCTGGATGTCCAAAGACTACAGCAAGAAATGGGTGTCTGAGTCCCACTAGGCAGTGGAGTACCCCCACACCCTGCACCAACACAGACACACACATTGAAGCAGACGGACCTTGGCAGCAGGAAAGTTGGTGATGACGACCTGTAATGGCTCCAGCACAGCCATGGCCCGTGGGGCTATGTCATTCAGGACATCACGCACACAGGCTTCTAGCAGATGTGGCTCCATTGTGGTCTGTGCCACTGTCACCCCCACCTAAGAGGAAAGGGCAGCATCAGTCACAGCTACAACCACAGACTGCCATGCCCAGTTCCGACCTGTCCACTCAGTCCAGTGGGCCATACCCGAGCACAGAAGTTGTTGATGGCCTCAGGTGGGAAGCCCCGCCGTCTTAGGGCTGTGAGTGTGAAGAGCCGTGGGTCATCCCAGTCCCTGTGGGCAAGGAGGCTGTGAGACCTTTGGCAGCACATGCCAGTAATACCCTCAACTTTTTTTTAAATTGATTCGAAACAGATTTTTAAAAAACATATTTTATTGATTATGCCATTACAGTTGTCCTATTCCCCCCTTCATTCCCCTCTACCCTGCACCCCCCGACTATTCCCCCGCTTTAGTTTATGACCATGTGTCTCAAGTTCTTTAGATTCTATATTTTCCCTACTATTCTTGCCCTCCCCACATCTATTTTCTACCTATCGTCTATGCTGATTATTTTCTGTACCTTCTCCCCCCTTCTCCTCCTCCCACTCCCATTGCTAACCCTCCATGTGATCTTCATTTCTATGGTTCTGCTCCTGATCTAGCTGTCCTCTTAGTTTGCTTTTGTTTTAGGTGTGGTTGTTAATAACTGTGAGTTTGCTGTCCTTTCACTGTTCATCTTTTTTATCTTCTTTTTCTTAGGTAAGTCCCTTTAACATTTCATATAATAAGGGCTTGGTGATGATGAACTCCTTGAATTTGACCTTATCTGAGAAGCACTTTAACTGTCCTTCCATTCTAAATGAAAGCTTTGCTGGATAGATCAATCTTGGATGTAGGTCTTTGGATTTCATGACTTGGAATACCTCTTTCCAGCCCCTTCTTGCCTGTAAGGTCTCTTTTGAGAAATCAGCTGACAGTCTGATGGGAACTCCTTTGTAGGTGACTGTCCCCTTAGCTCTTGCTGCTTCTAGAATTCTCTCCTTCATTTTAATCTTGGGTAATGTAATTATGATGTGCCTTGGTGTGTTTCTTCTTGGGTCCAACTTCTTTGGGACTCTCTGAGCTTCCTGGATTTCCTGGAAGTCTATTCCTTTGCCAGATTGGGGAAATTCTCCTTTATTATTTGTTCAAATAATGTTTCCACTTGTGGCTGTTCCTCTTCCCCTTCTGGTACCCCTGTAATTCAGATGTTGGAACGTTTAAAGATGTCCTGAAGGTTCCTAAGCCTCTCCTCCTTTTTTTGAATTCTTGTTTCTTCATCCTTTTCTGTTTGGTCATTTTTTTCTTCCTTCTGGTCTGCTCCCTTGATTTGAGTCCCAGTTTCCTTTCCATTACTATTGGTTTCCTGTGTGTTTCCCTTCATTTCCATTAGTTTAGCCTTCATATGGTCCTCTAATTTGTGGCTAAAATCAACCAGTTCTGTGAGCATCCTGATCACCAGTGTTTTGAACTGTGCATCTGAAAGTTTGGCTATTTCTTCATCGCTTAGATTGATCGACTCTGGGCCTCTGAGTTGTTCTTGAGCCATGTTTTGATCTGTTTGTGCCTGTTACATATGAGAAGTGGAGCCTTAGGTGTTCACCAGGGCAGGGCCACCCAGGTCGCTGGTTTGTGATGCTGTATGTGGGGGCAGGGTCAGAGAGGGACAATGGCAGTCCCCTCTGCTGCTTCCTGCCATTGGGGCCTGCACAGTCTGTCTCACTGCTCGCTCCTTCAGCAGTTTATCTACACGCGAATGTGTGACTGTGGTCAGCCCTCAGTGGGTCCACCTGCTACTCCACACCTGGGATCCACCCACAGCTGCTGGTGCACCTGGGTCGCACGCCCTGGTCGGTCTGGTGGATCTTTCCTGCCTGACCCCGCTCTGCTGCTGGCTCTGCCCCTCTTACCAGTTTGGCTGAAGGGTTCGTTGTTGTCAGACTTCTGTATAGTTCAATTTGGCTGCGTTTTTGTTGCTAAAACTTTGTTGTTTCTAAAGTTGGTTGTGAGAGAAGGCACAGTGCTTCCACCTACGCCTCCATCTTGGCGGAAGTCCCTACCCCCAACTTTGAAGAGCCAAACAACTACACCTACCGCACAGCACCAGCTGCCACGAGCTGGAGAATCTTCCTCTTAGAGACAACTGCATAGTGCAGGTTGAGACGGCCATACTCCCACTGCACAGGGCAATAGACATCCA